TAATTATCTACATGCGTCGATATGAGAGAATACATATTGTGCCTTTGCATAGTTGATTTATGTTCTTGAATGAAGATTTGAAGGAGACACTCAGTTCGACCGATGTCATGTTTATCGCAGTCCATGCAAGTTATTTTGTGAATGGTGTTGATCTAATCTTCTTTTTCTTTTGGATCTTCTGATCTGCACAACATTGAATGAAGTGACTCTGTTGGTTTGTGTGCTATGTTTATTTCAAGTGATCTTAGTATTGTAGCTGTTATTTCAGAGATATTCTTTTCATGTTATTATTGTTTCCTTTAGTTCCTAGAGGAACATAGGGCTTCAAACAAACGCCGTTTCTCTGCCAGAGTTTTCAGCTGACTTCACGTCTACCAACATGCTTTCATCGGCTCTTCACATAAATACGACTGTACAGCTTGAAAATGAAGTCGCTGAAAAGAAATTTCTTCGCTGAACAAAAACTGTGTCTTCACATAACCTCTTCCAATTCACGCTTGGATGACCAACTCGGCGCTTCCAGTTAAGATTACACTCGAGTGGTGGCCTGTCTTGTGATGCCACTTGATGGTTTCTTCAGAGTATGGCCAGTGTACCTGCATTTCTTCCTGCAGATTTCTTGCCCAATCGGTTCCCTCTCAGTTGGTTCGCTCCCATTGATCCCTCCCTGTTGATGACCTTTTCTGGTCGGCTATCTGATATTGAGTAGTACTGAGCGAAGATAGCTGTTGATGAAGGTCTGAAGTTTGTTCGAGGTGCTCTTCATGACGCGCCAAGTCCCTGATCCATTTGTATAGTAGCACTGACTTCACACTGGAGTTGATAATCCGGATCTTATTTTTCGTGCTGTGTGCTGTTGACCTCCACACAGACTTGAGAGTAATGAAAGCTTATCTTACTTTCCCGATTCTCTCTGCTTTGATATCCTTGTCAGTTCCGCCTGTAGTCGTAACGATGCTTCCCAGTTGGGTAGGTAAAGGAGTTTGTTTCTTTCAGGTTCCTCCCATTTATGCTGACTGATTTTTGTCTGTTGCTGTTTCTGTTGGCCAGGAATCTTCACAACACTCTTTATATGTGGAAGAAAGAACTTTCTTGTGGCCTTTGATGATGACTTATTGTTGGTACTAATATTTGAGTTTTGACATTTTTTCTGTTCGGTTGTGTAGGTATTCATTCATTCTTTTTGAAGACAGACAATGGATATTTCTTTTCCGTTATCTTCAGCACAGGGGTGCGACAGTGTGTTTGGACACCTTTACATAATATCTGCACGTTGTTTATTTTGTGGGTCACTGGGTTATTGTTGTAGTGATTGAATATTTGATCTATACGCGTTGACTTTATGTAAACCTGTGTTTCTAAATTTCCTTTGTTAGTTCTCTTAATTAGGACATCGATGAATGGGAGTTTACTGTCTAATTCTTCTTCTTTTGTGAATTAAATGTTTTCAAATATGTTGTTTTTCAATTAGTAGGCATATTCCTAATCATTTTTTTATTCCTTAACGTTTCCAGTGGAACATAAGGCTTCAAGCTAGGGCCTTGAAGTTTCTGTAACAGTATTGGTTGTTTTTCAAGAATGGGGTGGCTAGCCTCACGCCCAACCTCCTATAACTAGCTTAGAGGGGTTTGAGAGTACGTCAGCGGGAGATCGAATCCTGGACCATGTGCATGGTCAGCGAGCATCCTAACCACTGTGCCACCAACGCACATTCCAGATAATATCTTTTTTATTATCACGAACCTAACTTAAACATAACCTACCCCGGCCGGCGCACTCCCTCACCTCACTGAGCCAGAAATAATGCTGGTAAAGAGGAAAGGTTGGGCATGAGGCTAGCAACCCCATCCTGTAAAATTAAACACTGCTACAGAAACTTCAAGCCACTAGCTTGGAGCCCTATGTTCCACTGGGAACGTAAAGGAAAAATTATTACCCCGTTTTGTGATTTAATTATGAATAGGACTATTAATTGTAGTATATGCATAATGGCCTTATTTATTAATCCTGATATGAGTGTTCCCCTTAGTGCTTCTTTTACAGGTTCGTATATCTGATTACTGAATTGTAAATATGTTGTGAGACATAACTCTGAGTTCCATTCAAGCTGAAAATTGCGTTTTTGTGTGTTTATCTCTATGAAGTGATTGCACAGACCTAAAAATCCAAGAGAAAAAAGATTAGTTCAACACCATTTACAAAATAACTTGCATGGACTGCAATAAACATGACACCGGTCAAACTGAGTGTCTCCTTCAAATCTTCATTCAAGAACATAAATCAACTATGCAAAGGCACAATATGTATTCTCTCATATCGACGCATGTAGATAATTACGGACACCGACTTGGTGACTGAGAGAATATGGACGATTTAAATAGAGGAAACATGAAAAATGCAGTCAGGGGATTCCTAGAAGCCTGGTACTCAGATGAATGTCACGGATTAACAGACACATTACTATAGACCAAATTTACCAGCTGATAGAAAGTAAGCCACATGATAAGAATGAATGTTCAAGTTCCGATTCAATGAGACTGATCAATGGGGATGTGAATTAACAGCTAGTCACGTCATTGGTTGTCGGAATTATATTTGCTATTCACGAAGAATTCAGGTGTGTTCCTTTCATTCTAGAGCTACGGTTGAATATGTTGTGTATAAGGACAGTGAAAGGCTGTCAATTACACTGACTACCTCAGAGAACGTGACCTAATTAAAATGTGTAGCCTTTTTGGTGACCTCTATTTCAGTAAGATACATCTTTTTCTTCTGCAGCCTTCTTTTGCTTTTGCCTAATTAACTCTCGTCTTCTGATTTTAGGTCAAAAGTTGATATTCTTTGAGAAATCAGTGAGGACGAACGAGTACAGGACATCTTGATTGTTCTTCTTAGCTTATCTTAAGTTGTATGCATCGATAATCAAGGATCCTACTTTCACAATGTGATTCTACTGCTTGTTCAGCCACTCTGGTGCAATAATGAAGGCTTTATTTTGAATTCTTTATAAATCATACTTTATTTGCTGCAGAAATTAGGGTGAAATGGTTTCTTTTTTTTCAAGGATTTCCATGAACAATGCTAAATGACGGTTAATTGCTTAGCATACTGCTATCTGATATGAATTGAAAACCAATCCCTTAAGATATTTTTTCTCTGAATACTTCGAGAAATGCATAAGATATGGTCGAAAGGCAAGTAATAAAGTTGCAAGAGGGCATTTTCGGACCCAAGGATATCATACTGGCTGAAACAACTGGAGACTGTAGGTGATTAGTTTTGCTTTACAAGGAGCGGCAGCCTACACTAAAGATCCTAGGGACACAGTTATCTCGCCATCCACTATTATGATGTGATGTCTCAGCTATACTAAGAGCTAGTGAATCAACAGGTCGCATACATTTTAAATACTCGCGCGAGTAGAAGACACCATTAATGTTCATCGTTTAGCAGATTAAAACAAAATGAAGAAGACGATTAATATGCCGTATAATGACAGCGTTTTTGGTTGGCTAGATCATAAAATGGCATCCCACAGTGCTCGACCGATAAATACTAATTCCTAACTATTCATGATGTTGAATAACACCTCTAGTCAGTTTGAACGAAGAGAACTTATCCCCAGGCCTTAATTGATCAAACCTTCTAGTCATAGCTTGTCACTAAAACTCATGAAATATCCTCCTGTAACCGATCACCAGTGAGGAAGCATTTGATTAATTGTTAAGGGTTGGTTTGTAGGTATATGACTGACTCCAAGTTTGTATTGCAAACTAACACTAACTGTGTATTTAGTCAAAAAAATCGAGAAATGTAGTAGAAAAATGATAACCTAACTGGCGAAGATTTGGTAACGTTCGCAGAACACAGGGGATAACGGATTGCTCTGATTGGTTGTTGATTTTTTGAGGGTTGTCCAATGAGATTATTTCCTGACCACAACGTAAGGTACATTCAGATTTGTGGAATAAGCAGTTCTACTTCCAACTGGCTACTTCCAATTAATCTGTGTGCATATACTACTGGTAACTCTTGTCAGTAGCATATACCACAACAAGAGAAGTAGAATGAAATAATGCAATCTGAACACTTTATTCTTCACAAACATATTCGTCCACTACAAGAAAAGAAAAAAATATATACGTAAATCACTTAGAAAAGACGTATTAGTAACTGATCCACAGTTGTGATTACATTTGTGAGTAGCAGTAGTCTCTATGTTACTTTTGTAGTTTCTCTGTGTATTTATTTGCAAATCTGACATGTGATATGATTTAACAAAATACACACTTATTGAACAAAATTACGCGAAAAGAAAATATTAGAGTATGATAAGAACACGATTGAAAAGTGACAGCAAACATAGATATATAAAATATCGATGCAGAGACATTTAAACAGCCAGCAGAAATAATAGAGTACACATCAATTAGTCAGCAATGGTCAATAATGACAAATAGGGTGAAATGAATAGCATCTTATTATATCTGTAATACAACTAGAGGTAGACAATACTTGGTTTGGTCTTTCTTGTTTAATCAATAGAAATGTGAGTGATATGATGATGGATTATGCGGGTGTGATTAATTGACTGACAGATTTGTTTAATTCGTTATTTCATCACATAAATGTTTAACACTGTACACAATAGTTGAACTTTAATCTTCGCGCACTTGGTTCATTTAAACAACAATAATAGTACAAAAAGGAGAGAAAAAGCGGTTTCAATCTTTTCAATGTTCAATGGATAAATTACAATTCAAATCTCTTTTGTCGTTGTTGTTGTCGTTGTTTTTTTTGTAAGAAAATATACATTGAATGGAAATAAAAGAGAAGGAGAGTCAAAGATCATGCGTATTGGTCTTTTTTTTCATTCATTCACTACTTCTTCTTCGTGTTTGTCTTGTTTAGTTCAAGTAGAATTGGACAGTGAACAAATACGAATTCAATTGTGAAGGTTTATGCTGAACAATTGTTAATCGTTTTCGCTGTTACTGGATTCAACGAAATGGAGGATTCTGAGGAGTCTTTTGAGATAATCTATTGTTGAGAGAAGCAAAAAAACGAAGTGAATAAGGAATCAGAAATAATGAAAAGAAGTGGAACAGGCGAGGACATATTAGGTCAATGATTCACCTGTATTTTCACACTTGGATAATTCACATGATGATATTCAAGAAGGGAAATATTTGTTTCATCAACAGCAGTAAACTTGTAATTTTGCGTCAAAAGATGCATATATATACGCATATGTCCCATTTTTGTGACCTAATTTGAAATTTACAGCTACGCTTCCTTGCAGTTTCTGTATATATGAAAGCCTGAATAACATAGCGGACACTTTTTCCTCTATAACATGGATCTAATTGGATAAGGTTAGGCAATAAACACAGTCCACTGATTCTGAATTCCCTTTTTTCAAATGAATATGAAGGAAACGAAGTAATCATTCAGCCAGCAAAGTATTTCTTTTCAGCGACTTAGTTTTCAAGCTGAACACTGGTATATTTGCGGTAGGTTAAACAGGCGATTTAGGGGCTCATAAAGTTATTCATTCATGAAATTTATAAAGGTAAAGTTAAACTTTTAAAAGTTGGTTTGTAGGGATTTGATTTGTTTCAAGTTCCACCAGGGGTTGATATAAGAAGCGTTGAGAAAAAGAACCCAGCTGGAAGTACTGGACAGCTGTTTTGTCAGCCTAGTTTGGGACTAATTGGCAGTACATACGCACGGAGACTTCAACCCAGGACCTACCGGTTACACGTCAAGCTCACAGACTATTCAGCTACTGGGAAGAAATTGCTATTCAGTACTCCATGGTATCCAGTCGTTCTCTAACTGATATCAACCCATGGTGAAACTTGAAACAAACTAACTCTTCAGAATTAATCTGATGCCTGCTAGTGACTGGCGACAAGACGAAGTTTCCTGAAGTTCCAAAGAAAAAGTCGAGGCCAGTGGAGTCCAGAAGTGGAAACAAATATACACTGTTGGGACTGGTTGGTAAAAGTTGTAATACATATGATAACCAGGAGATCCTCTGTTTGAACCCCAGTGGCTGATTGGCCATGATGAGTCATAAACTAGGATGAAATAGCCATCCAGTACTCCCTGGTTTTCACTGTTGGAACTGAATTACAAAATTAATGATTACTAAAGAAAGGGTATTGTTACTAAGGCGTTTAAAGTGCATCAGGTGATTACCAATATGACACGACTAATGAAAGGGAAGTGAAGTTGAAGTGGGATGAAATCAGTGAGAAAGAACACTATGTTCAAGGTAAAGAAAGTGGTTTCACAGAAGGCTTTCCAGTGTGTGGACTAGGTTTCTGTCCATGTACGGCTTGTGGTTTAGCTATATTACACGGATAATGAAAATCAGCAATTTAAGATAACTCTAAAGGGTTGAGTGAAGAAACCCTAGAAGAATTTTAAGAATAGACGACATTGTCATCCTGTATTTGCCTTACCAAACCTGATAGTGTTAAGCTACACATTTGCATAGAACTTGTTTACAACCTCTAATATAATCAGCTCTACTGCAGGATATGAATCAGTAGATGCTAATATACTATGTAACGTAAAGAGTAATTTACATTTCACACATTACCGAATGTTAAAGCAACTCGATAATATGTGATTTAGGTTAAGGGGAGAACACAGAAATTCAAGCTAATCATGTATACATTGAATCAGCAAGTTTTAAGGTCTCTAGATGACTTTTGTTGGTATAATAGAGATACAACTGTACAGGCTGGGAAGACATATCTCTTAGCCAAACAAATCTTTGCTTTCCATTAAGCATTATTATTGTTTCCTTTAGTTCCTAGAGGAACATAGGGTAACTGTCACACGTTTCCATTGCGTTCCGTTCTTCGATAACGTTTTCACCTCGCATCAACTCGTTCTCTATGTTAACTTCGCATTGATGACCAACTCACCGCTTCCTGTTTGGGTTCCACTCGAGCGATGGCATGGCGTTGATGGTTTTCTCAGAGTATAACCAATCCACCACCATTTCTTCCTGCATATTTGCTGCACGGTCGGTTACTGCTGGGTTGGTTCACTACTACAGATCCCTCCCTGTTGACGATCTTTTCTGGTCGGCTATATGATCCTGAGTATCGAGCGAAGACAGTTGCTGGTGAAGGTCTGTAGTTTGTTTGAAGTGCCATTCGTGTCGTGAGGCATAGCCAGGCCTCTGATCCATCCGTATGATAGTACTGACTTCAGATTGGAGTTGAAAATCCGGATCTTATTTTTCATGCTGATTGCTGGTGATCTCCACAAAAACTTGAGAGATTTGAAAGCTTCCTTACTTTCCTGATCCTCGCTTTGATATCCTCGTCATTTCTGTCCACCTGTAGTTGAGATGATGCTTCCCAGGTAGGTGGGTAGGTAGGTAGGTAGGTAGGTAGGTAGGTGAAGGAAGTTGCTCCTTTCAGATTTCTCCCATTTATGTTGATTGTTGTATTTTGTTGTTGGCCAGCAATCTTCATCACCACATCTGTTTTCTCTATGTTCACCTGGATTCCTATCTTCTCCAGATGCTTCTTCTGACAACTTGTTGCTTTCCACCTGAATATCTTCCAGTTTGTGGGAAATCAGACATATATCATCATCGGCGAAATCCAAATCCTCCAAGTCTTTACTTAAGGATGATTGTTGTTTATCTAAGGTAGAACTAATCCGAATGATTCTCGAAAATTAAGAAAATCTGGAATCGTCATTCCTTTCTCGAGTGTATCTGATGCCTATCTAACTATTACGCATTTCATATGAGCCCAAACAGCGTTAATCATGTCATTATCGATTAAAATAATTTCACCTGCCAAAATACATTTGGATCACTAACGCTCAACAAGGTCATGCAATTTTTTCTCAAAATGGATAACCGGCCAGGACTCAACACAAGATATAGCATTGGTCCACATCAAATGTCTGAAATTCTACACCAACAAACCAAAAAACAAGTTCCACTCCTCAAATGATGACTGTCAGTTGCGGTGAAATTACTCAAAGCCATTATATCACAAACAGGGCGAGGATGTCAAATCGAGTGAGAATCAGGAAGGCGAGAAACACATTCATCAACCTCAAACAACCAATCTGGGAATCCTCGTCACTCAACCACCATCAACAACAAAATTCAGTAGGATTTGCAATACAAACGTCAAGTCAGTCAGTTCTTCTTTCTATACGGATCAGAAACTTGGCGAGCTTCACAAAGAATATTTCCAACAGCCTGTTGCATGCAGACCTTAATCAACAACTGTCTTTGCTGGCTCCTTACTGAAGATCGGATGGCCGGGCCGGAAAGAACCATCAACAGCAAGAAAATATGGGAACAAACAAAACAAGCACCAATCAATCGTCAATCAACAAATATGCAGGAGAAAGTGGATGGTGATGGATTGGACACTCGCTGAGTGAGTTGGCCGCTGGGTGACATCGCGCTCGCTTCAGGCCATTGCTCGAGTGGAACCAGGCCGAAAGGGAATTGGCGATTGGGACGTCAGTGGAAGGGTGACATGGGGAGATCGTGTGAAGAGAGAGGAGTTGAAACAGTATGGACCAACATGGATGGATGCAAGTGAAAAGTACAGCAGAAGACAGAAGTGGCAAGTGGAGACGTTCAGTTGAAGCCCTATGTTCCACTAGTAACCCAAGGGAACATTAATAATAATAATAACTAGACATCGTTTGAATTTACTCTCAGAACAGGAGGAGGATGAGTGGTATGACTTATAAATATGTCTCAGTTAAGTTAGTCACTATAAAATAAAGTAGTCGTAGATGACAACTGTGATGTAGATTTGTCAAAAACAAATTACTCAAAAAGTTTTACCTTTCTTCATGTGATTCACTATCTGAACTGATAGGATTCCCTGTGATATTCAGTCTGGTTAACAAACGATCGGGTAGATCATAAAGATTTTGTGTTGTTATATCTAGAGGTAGACTTGCACACGGTGCATGAAGTATCGGTGATAAAGGCGGAGAGAATTGAGTCTGTCTAGTTGCTGCATACGCGAAATTTGTTGGATGGGAGACACGATCAAAAAGTAATAAACTAGGCGGTGAAAATATTGGGGCTACAATTTGTTTCTCAATCTCTGTATTTGTCTGTGCTAATAATTTGTCTGTTTTTGTTGTTGTTACTGTTGTCGTTGTTGTTGTTGACGGTGATGATGATGATGACGTTTCTGTAGGCGGATTGATATTATCGTTAATTTCTGGTATAGTTAATTTTGTTAGATTTGGATCAAGACTATGCCGGTTCCGCATTAAATATTCCGGCGTTTTACTATTGGGCAATAAAACTTCACTTAACGAGATTGGCGTGGATACAGTTGCACCGAGTTCATCTGAGGAGCAATCTTTATTCCCGATGAAGGATTATCTACTTTTAAGTATTCTTTAGCAGTGTCTTTTTCTGATATTTCTACAATCACTTCACTTCTTTCTGGTTCACTGCTACTTTCATGAATAGTCTCAATCAGGGGATTATCTGTAGGCGAAGTGATTTTAATTAAACTATCGCATTCTTGAAGTTCACCTTCTTGATTCTGTTGTTGTTGTACAGTTGACAACTGGGAATCATTCACTAGAGATTTAGATGTCCCCCTTGTTGATGATGCATTGGACATGAGATTACCAGAGCTTCGATTATTCGCCTTTTTGTCTTGATTTGTTGTACAAGAATCATCATCATTACTGAGTTTACCTGAGGAGCTTTCATCATTACCTCCTTTTACAACATCACACGATAAACTGGAGCTGAGAGTATCTTCAGCCAAGGATACTTGATTGGTAAGTTTAGGCTTTTGATTAATTAATTTACTGTGTTTATTTGTGTGTTGATCAACATCGATCCCGTAGAGTTTGTGTTTTAACTTCTCTTGAAATGCTTGTTGACTATTTCGAAGCTTTTCTATCCATCTTTGCTAGAATAGACAAAAAAGACAAAAACAAACGGTCACAAAACATCATCCATTAGCGCTGAATATATTTCAGAGAGTGATAAAGAAGATTTTAAAATCAGGTAGGTGATATTGGCGTAGCTGTGTTCTCTGAGTCGTACTTTAGAGGTCAGCTTTGCAGTTAGACTGTCCAGCTCAGAGAACATAACTACCCTAATTTCATATCGTTTTTGAGAGTCTTTCTTGGTGACATATATGGGAGTAATGATTTATGAGAGAGAGAGAGTAGGTTGGTTTTGGACGCTTTTCTGTTACATACCTGAAACTTTCAACGAATACGCCAATCACTAGATGATTGTGCTCACTGGTGAACTAGGTACTGCCGTCCGAAATGTCCATGAAAGAAATCCATTGCTATGAGTATTTAGGAAATATAAAAGAAGTACTTTTGACTAAATAAAATGTTTCAAATTCAAGTGAAAGCGTTCAGCCATTTTTGTGGTTGTGATTTATTTATTGGTCACAATGAAAAAATTATATATATATATATATCACAAACTGCTAGGAGTAAGAATTCCCTCAGCAGCTACACAGTCAGCGAGCTAGCCACATAAAGTCAAGGTTCTCTGTTCAATCTTTGGTGAAGTCTTGAGTGCACAGCGTTGAAGAGTGGCGGACTGGGGCAAAAGCATTTTTGAGTACTCCTTCGTTTTGAATGGTTCTCTAACTGATCTCAGTTCTTGATGTAATCTAACAACGTTTGAAAAACTGCTCAAATTAATTTTGGGGCCATGCTGGCTAAATGAATGAGAAATGTAAAGTTTAGTCAGATACGAAAGTGTTTACTCAATATTTTTTTCAACTTACAGCAATGTCGTGCAAGTTATTAATTTCAAACCCTTGAATAATTTTCAAAACTGGTAATGTGTAGTGAGGCGTCACTACAAATCTGAATTAAGCCTACACTTTATTAAGTCCCTTTATTATTATTCCCTAGGATTATAAGTGGAACAAAAGGCTTCAGTTACACATCTCCACTTGCTTCTGCCTTCTGATGTACTTTTCACTTGCATCCATCCATGTTGGTCCATACTGTTTCAACTCCTCTCTCTTCACACGATCTCCCCCATGTCACCCTTCCACTGACGTCCCAATCGCCAATTCCCTTTCGGCCTGGTTCCACTCGAGCAATGGCCTGACGCGAGCGCGATGCCACCCAGCGGCCTCCTCACTCAGCGAGTGTCCAGTCCATCACCATCCACTTTCTCCTCCATATTTGTTGATTGACGATTGGTTGGTTCTTGTTTTGTTTGTTCCCAGCTAGAGTTTCTTGTTGATGATGATTCTTTCCGGCCCGGCCATCCGATCTTCATTATAAAGCCAGCGAAGACAGTTGTTGATTAAGGTCTGCATGCAACAGGCTGTTGGAAATATTCTTTGTGACCCGCCCGCCCGCTCGCCAAGTTTCTGGTCTGTATAGAAAGAAGAACTGACTGACTTGACGTTTGTATTGCAAATCCGACTGAATTTTGATGTTGATGGTGGTTGAGTGACGAGGATTCCCAGATTGGTTGTTTGAGGTTGATGAATGTGTTTCTCGCCTTCTCGATTCTCACTCGATTTGACATCCTCGTCCATTCCGACTACCTTTAGTTGAGACAATGCTCCCTAGATAAGTGAAGCGAATGAAATAGCCTCTTTCAAATCCCTTTCTTTGATGTTGATTGGCGCTGGATGTTGCTGTTGTTGTTGGTTGGTTGGTCATTTTCATGACTTCCGTCTTGTCTATGCTCACCTGGAGTCTTGTCTTTGCTGGCTGCCTTTTCGACCAGTTTGTCGGTTTTCGCTTGTAAGTCTTCGATTTTGTGTGATATCCAACATAAATCATCCACTCGCGAAATCCAGGTCTTCTAGGTTCTTGACGTCGGTCGAGGATATCCCTGTCTTCTCGTTTTCCACCTACTGTCTGATGCATTATCCAGTCAGTACATCACTATTAGGAATATCACTGGTGATAATAAGCACCCTTGTCTGACTCCTGTGTTCACTCCAAACGCCTCACTGAGTTTTCTGTTTGTGGATCACTTGGCAGGTGCCGTTGTCGTACAGCTGTTGAATAAGGTTGATGAATATTTGGGGTACGCCGTAGTACCCGAGTAGTTTCCAAATTACTTCACGGTCAACTCTGTCGAAGGCCTTCTCAAAGTCTATAAAGTTGAGGTAGAGATTTGATTACCATTCCATGCTTTGCTCGATGATGATGCATATAGTTGCAATTTGGTCAGAACATGATCTGCCTGACTTTCCTGAATCCAGCTTGTTCTGGTCGGAGTTCTGCATTCAGTGCGTCCTTAATTCTCTCCAGGATGATGCGACTCAGGATTTTACTTGGCATGAATCCTCGCCAGTTCTTGCAGAGTCCTAAGTTGCCCTTCTTTGGTAGTTTCACGAGGTAACCTTTCTTCCAGTCAGTAGGCACCTTTCCCTCCTTCCACACCTTTTGCAATAATGAATTCAGCATGTCTGCTGTCGTTTCTGGGTCCGCTTTCAGTTTTTCAGGGGGTAATCCTTCTGGTCTAGCTGCTTTTCCAGCTTTCAGAAGCTTGATTGCATTCAAGATTTCAGCTTTCGTTGAAGGATTGGTGTCAAATTGTCATCTGACTGTACGATTGCCCATAAGCTCTCCCTGGCACTATCTCCCTCGCGACAACCTAGGCCCGATGCGCAAATCATTGTTTTCCATTCTTATTCCACTCGAAGGCCGGACGTATGATGTCACTCGGCAGTTTCAGAGTGTGTGTCAATTCCGTCTCCATTTTCCTTCTGCTAGTGTTATGGACAATAGGTACTTGGTTGGTTCTTTACCAGAGTCCGCTGTTTCTTATGCTTTCTGGCCATTTCATCAACAGCATGAAACCAAGGCAACCATTGATAAAAGTCTGTAGTCCGTCGGAGAAGCTTGTCATATCGTGTTAAGTCTCCGAATCATATAAAAGGACTGACTAAACATTGGGTTTGAAAAGTGAAATCTTATTCCTCATCCTGAGTGCCGGAGATTTCTAAACTGATTTCAGGGTGATGAAGGTCTGCCTTCCATTTCATTTTCTGATCCTGATTTTACCATACGCATCCGTGTAGTCCACCTATAGCTGAAACGATGCTGCCTAGACAACTGAAGGAAGTAACATCTTTCAGGTTAATTTCATTGCTATTGCTTGGTGTTTGTTGTTCTTGTCGGTTGGTTATTTCTATCAACTCCATCTCCTCTCTGCTCACCTGAAGTCCTATCTTTGCTGCTGCTGCTGCTTCAGCCAGCTGGGTGGTTGTCTTCTGTAGATCCTTGAACTTGTTTGCTAATAGACATAAATAGTTCACGGAGTCCAGATCTTTTCAGAGTCTTCTTGTGAGTTAAGCGTATTCCTCTGCCTTCTCAATCGCTACAGCCTGGTGGAAAATTCATTCTGCCACAATCAAGAATCAAGTTGTTTTATGCTGCTTGCAGCCGACCTCCAGACTAATTCCCCATTAATGAATATATCTCTTTTGCTTCTTCTATCCTGCTTTTGACATCCTTATGCATACCACTGCCAGTAGGTGAAACGATGCTGTCCAGATTTATCTGATGGAAGTTATCCGGTTCAAAAATGCAACTTCACTCCACTTCACTAATCACGTACTTATCTCAAATCAATTTAGTTTTCTTACTTCTTCTTTTTTTTTTCTTACAATTTTTGGGGAACTGGAAATCCTGTAGTTTAACCGCAAGTTAACAAGACAATTCACGGAATATTTCAGTTGATTACGATTAGATGAAAATTTTGCTATCCCATCCATCTATTTTTTTTAAAGTGGAAACACTCATTCCTAATTGTGTGTTTTTTGCCTCCATAGCTTGCTTGCTTTTCTCTAGGGATACACATAAACGTGTAATTATCAAAATGGTAAATTGCATTCTCTGACTAGTAAGTAGCATAAATAGTGTAGCCAAAAAAAAACAAAAAACAACAACAGTAACAGTAACAAGAAAACAAACATTATAACTCGGATATTTTCATGGATTAACTAACTGTCATAATCACGTATATCATAACTATAGTGTTAGTAAACGCATAACTAAACACATTTGTTTTGTTTTTTTCAGTGTTCGTTGTTATGTATTTCTAGTTGAATGATTTTTATTGTAAAATATGAAATGCTAAGACTCATTTTTTTTATGGCATATTTCTCTTTTCGTTTACGTTTGCAGCCTGACAAGGGGGTTATCGAGTTTAAGCCTTTTCTACGAATATTCCATTTTGGGCTTTTGCTGACTTTTGCTTTTATCATTCAAAAGAGGACTGGTTGACTTTCAGTAGCCACTGTCACTTCATCTCATCTATTCCAGGATGTTTTGAGGTTTTTGTAGCCAATGAGTTGTGTTGGTTAGCCCAACTGTTAACTTTTCATCTTTCTCTTAGCTTGAGACTGACCGAGACACCAGGTCCTCAGGTGGAATTCATATAGGAAATTAGGAGTTGGGTGACCAAAGGTGACATAGGGGAGATCATGAGAGGATAATGTGATGAAAGCGTAGTGAGAGTCATAAATGTTGACCTATTGCTATTACCTATCTTTTTCTAAAAACTGTGGGAAAGTTGATCTTACTTACTTAATCTTAAACCATCACTTAAAGCCTTTAACGATCCCAAACAATTCGCCTACAAAACATAGTAGGATTACTTTAGATGCAGGTGCAGTCTTGCATCACAACGTTGTCTCTAGTTTATGCAAAGAGGTTACATTTGTTCGCTGCGCCTTACTAGATTGCTTTCGATTTACTTTCAACTCAGTACCTAGGGATATTTTGTTAAATAAGCTTGCTGAAACTCAAACTGATTGTTGGGTTGTCAAACGCCTGCATTCTTATTTCTCAGGAAGAAAGCAGTACACTGTATGTCAGGCAAAGTCTTACACTTCGTTGCTTACTGAAGCTGGTGTCCCACAAAGAACTATCCTTTTTCCCTCTGTTTTTTTTTCTTTTTGAATGACTTGCCTGACTTTGATGATATGAACTTTGTTAAGTATGCTGGCGATCTAACTATTTCAGTGTCTGTTAACTCCCAGCTAGACTGTTCTAAAACGAACAGCTTTCTATCACGAGTTAGCAAATGGTCTTCGTGTAACGGCCTTAAACCAAATCCTTTCCTAGTGTCAGACTGTTAATTTCAGTTTCCTATCTAAAAGAAAGTTAAATGAAGCTGTTGGTTCCTATGGCCCATGCGAAAATTGATGATAGTGATATAGAAATCAAGTCTGAAGTTAAGTATCTTGGATTAATTCTTTCTACTGACCTCTCCTGGTCTTTTCATGTCTTAGTAATTTCTAAAAGAATATCTCGTCTGACGTTTTACATTAGGAAGTTGAGGCACTCAGGCATAAATCAACCCCTCCTCCACCTACAGTTTTTTAACTCATGCAACTAACCCATTCTTCTTTACTGTTCCCCCTTATTCCTTCCTGGATTGCTTAAAAAAAGACTATGTCATACTTCATAGAACTCTGAAGACTGTCAGTGGGGCGAGTGATGGTTTCTCAATCGGCCATATCGTTAACATCGTCATTGATAGGCACTTGATTTCATGAAACAAATTTGCTAAAGGAATTTTGTTAGACTGTGAGCATCCATTACAGCAACCGCAGCTCCAACCGTGTGTCTCCTCAGGTAAAACAAGAAGTCTTTTCAGAAGACTTTATGCACAAACGTCTGAGTATAAAAATTCCACTGTACCATATTTAGTACGTACTTTATGTGATGAAAATAGTGTCAGGCATGAACTAACTAACCTGCTTTGCACTACTAAATAAACCATTTCTTCCACCCTTACAACATCAAACTTTATTGTTATTGTATTTCTTATATTTATAATCCTCTCAATTTTTTGTTTTTATTTATTTTTCATAAGTGTGAACATCATTTATGCTGTGTTATAACTGTTAATTTAGTATTTCCCGTCACCATACTATATTAACAGCACATTAGATTTAATAATCTAGAGCATGCTAAAATTGCCAAACTGAATCGACAATACTGTTTGAAACAAACTCTCTGTTATTATTATTATTATATTCATTATTCCCATTTTGTACTTCAAGTATTTTTGACTTTATATTGTAAATATGGAGGAATTCCTCTGGTTAATTTAATTTTATCTATATTTTGAGTAAATCAGATGCAATATTGTGACAAATGCTGAGAATTCCATTCTGTATTATGAGTACTGTTTTTGAAATAAAGTAGATTATTGGATTTCATCATGAGCTGACATTGGTTAGTGAAGCATTGGAAAACCTTAGTTCGGGACTCTTCAGCAGTACGCACCCACTGAGGTTTGAACTCACGTCTTTCTGGGTTCAGGTAGGTAGGTACCTGGGGTTATGGGGAGAAGTCGTGACATTGGCAAGTGGTTGCACTATGTCATGAATTGGCAGAAGTTAGAATTCATGGGCCATTGGATTGGGTCCCAGTAGCTTAATGGTATAACAGCTCACCTTGTAAACAGGAGGTCTTGAGTTCGAACCCCGGTGGGTACGTACTGCTGAAGAGTCCCAAATTAAGACGAAACAGCTGTCTAGTACTCTCAGGTTTTCCAATGGTTCTCTAACCAGTGTCAGCTCGTGATGAAATCCTGTATCCAACCAAATCCCTACAAACCAACACTTAAAGTAGATTATTATTATTATTAAAGTCAGTTAAGAAGGACAGCAGTCGACAGGGTGAAGTGACAATGTGCTGCTGATAACCTACGTTCTGCTTAGAACTCAATAAAATCATGATAATACGTAAATAAATAGCTGAATGATAATGGACAGAATTCTAAGTATCTTCTATCGCAAAGTAGTCATTCATTCTGAGTGTAGAATTTTCAAGTAGGCTAATAATCCTCAATAAACCATCCAATGAGAATCTGCTCCATCTGGAAAATTCTCAAATAACCTGTTACAGCCCGGTGATTTGAGCAAGGGACCAGCTCTATCATATCTCAACAACAACAAAATGAACCCTGAGAGAAGTACTGAAGTCATTAATTTCAATAATTTCAGGATTATTATTATAAGTAGTATTACTCACCTTATCCAACTCATTTGCTGCCTGTAGTGTATAAACTCCTGTGATCTGTTGAAATCGTGTTATCAGTACAAGAACGATGGCGTTTCGCAAGCCATTAGCTATTACAGCAAAATGTAAAAACAAGAAGAGTGTATAAGCCCATTTAAGAGTGAATGAGACTTGAAAACACGTTCAAAAGGTGAATTTCTCATTATAAATGAGCAATACGAATAAGTTCCTAAAATATAAGATTCCTATCACTAAATGAAGTTAATAAAACAAATGATTTTCAGCAAAGGAACTTTTCTCGACAAATTCATTGTGTTCAGCTGCGACGTCTCACCCAAACATATAACGTTTTAATGGAAGAGACCTTATAGAAGTCTAGATTTCAGAAGAGACTTAACCTGAGCTATCAGTGAGAGAAGGATTTCATCATCTTTAGGCAGAACATTCTTCTCAGCAACACTAAGAGTAGTGTTCCCAAGTGGTCCACCGGTCTGAAGACACCTGAAGGACAAGGTCTCTCCTCTGAACACTTCCGTGTGCAAATATCACCTTATCTGCTCTAGTGAAGCCAGGAGTATTGGTCATTTGACGCTTCTCCTGTTTTCAAAAGTCCTCAAGAACACAATCCATTATGGTATTAGTGACTGTATGAGGACTGCGGTAATCAATTATCTTGTCAGACACATTCATCCCATCTCAAATACACCTCTTTCGAATTAGCCTACAAAGTGAAGAACAGCCTCCCAAAAAAATTTGGTTTCTTCTCTTTTGCAATTCTGGAGCTCTAGCAATTCACACAGAGGAATCACAGTTATGCATTCAAAAAAGGAATTATTCAACCAGTTCTACTATCACGGGCTGACCTTTGTTGATTTCTACTGAGGTGATTTTGGTTTGCTTGTCTTTCCAACTACATTTTTTTTCGTTTCTTTGTGGAACCTGATTATAACTTATTCATTAAATTATCTATTTGTTTACACAATCTGAATACACTTTCTCAACTCAACGCTAATAAATATGATTATGACAACTCATCCCTTCTGTTACTACCCTCTTTCATAAAATGTTTATATATATATATATATATATATATATATAAATGCGACCGTACAGATAGAAATTTTTTTGATGTGATTGTGTTCTTTGAGCTGGATAGTTAGTTTGTAAAGCTTTCTTCAACTTACTAAGCGACATCTCCAGTGCATACTTCACTTTGAGGCGAGCTTTTAGATTTCTCCATGAGTTTATTAATAATCTCTCCTGGTGGCCTTCAGCGTGACACTTTAGTTGATTTTGTGTGTTTTCACACCTTCTGGCTTACTTGTATTGGAACTGATTGTTTCCTTGACTTGAACTTTGACCCTATGCGTGTGTGAGGTTTCTTCTCTTATCGGTTGATAAATTTTGTCTATCTCGATGTGTCTTTTGATTGATGGTTCACTGGAATACTAGGCTGGCTTCTATAAAATTCTCTAGCATTCTTGTTGTTGTTTCCTCTGTCTAATATTTGAACGCTGGTTGTCCCAGTCGAATTGATGTCCGTGGTTGTCTGTATGTAGTGAGGCGATGTGAGGGAGTGGATACTGAAGTGGAAAATTGAAGAAAGATATCTCATGGACGTCTTCCAGAAGAATGAATACCCATGGAATTTCGTCAAAAGACTTATACCCCCAAGCCAACCTATCAAACCACAAGCCCCCAAAGAAAGCACAAAGAAAATCGCCTTACCATTTATAAAGGCTATCTAAGAAATCCCTACAAGACTCTTCAAACCTTTAGGAGTTGACGTCGTACACAAACCAACAAAGTCACTTTTATCAATCCTATGTCAACGAAAAGACTCAACAACAAAAGAAGACAAAACCAACGTCCTCTACAAAATAAATTGTAACAATTGAGAAATTACTACATTGACCAAAGTGGACGTTACTTTCGCCTTTGTATACACAAATAAAAGCCAGCCATCAAAAGACATGATATCCACTCCCTCACATCGCCTCACTACATACAGACAACCACGGACATCAATTCGACTGGGACAAACAGCGTTCAAATATTAGACAGAGGAAACAACAACAAGAATGCTAGAGAATTTTATAGAAGCCAGCCTAGTATTCCAGTGAACCATCAATCAATAGACACATCGAGATAGACAAAATTTATCAACCGATAAGAGAAGAAACCTCACACACGCATAGGGTCAAAGTTCAAGTCAAGGAAACAATCAGTTCCAATACAAGTAAGCCAGAAGGTGTGAAAACACACAAAATCAACTAAAGTGTCACGCTGAAGGCCACCAGGAGAGATTATTAATAAACTCATGGAGAAATCTAAAAGCTCGCCTCAAAGTGAAGTATGCACTGGAGATGTCGCTTAGTAAGTTGAAGAAAGCTTTACAAACTAACTATCCAGCTTAGGGAACACAGCCACATCACAACACAATCACCTGAGCTACAAATCTTCTCAATCATAGCTAGAGAAAATGAATTCAAGGAAACCAACCTCTTCGCTGAGCCATTTGTTTTGTTATTTTCATTACTGCTTCAAAGAGGGATGCTCGCGAATTAAAACTATGTTAAACTTTTAAAGTTAATGGTAGGGGAAGTGGATTAAATTTTCTTGGATCCCGTAAAATATGTTTACATTCCGGTGTTTTGATTTAAAGGGGAAATATTTTATGGTGAACATTCCTCTTCTGTTTGAATATCTTTAACTTAGATGTTTGTCCTCCAGGGGAATAGAAATTATTTGAGGCAGGGAGAATTAACTACAGGAAATGTGTTGCTTACTTTTTGATTGGTAAAACAATCGTAGCTTACACTTGAACGGTATTTTTAAGGCGATTATATGAGACATAATCTTATGTCTAAAGAGCCGAACACTTCACTAAACATTTCTTTTTTTTCAAGTACTAACGTTCGATTGTTGGTGAGGTTTATCTCAACCTTAGAAGACATGATATTATATTCCTTCTGTTCAATACATGTCGACGACTGTAGACATAAATTCATTTGAGAAAAAGTGAAATTCTGTAGTCGGATAAGTTTAACTTTAACTGGTGCGTTCACACAGATGAGGCTTATCAATCGATAAAGGTCATCTACCAAAGTTGTTAGGAAATAATTCATAGAGAATTTCAGAAAAGATCTCATCACGAGCTGACATAAGTTAGGGAACGATTGGGAAACCAGAAAGTACTGGACAGCTGTATCGTCCTAGTTTGAGACTCTCTTCGGCTGTACTCACCCACCAGGGTTCGAACCAAAGATCTTCAGGTTACAAGGCAAGCTTGTAGACCATTCAGCCACTGAGAACCTATCCACTGACCTATAAATACCATTTTCCATGAATCCGCTGTCATAGGTGACTAAGTGTCCTGGTTCAGTGGATCCCACTGGTCATGACGTTTCAATAGAACTTCAGGTAACTTCCAATATAGAGCCAGTCACTGGTGAGCATAAGATTATTTAGTAGGAGTTGGAGTTTATGAGCTGTCGGCTTGGGTCTCAGTGGTTCAATTGTCTACGAGCTTGCCTTGAAACCAGAAGCGTCTGGGTTCGAACCCTGGTAGTGGGTGTTTACTGTTGAAGAGTTTCAAACTAGAGAAAAAAAGCTATCTAATACTCTCTGATTTTCTAATGCCTCCCTTAGTCATGTCAACTCGCAATCACACCTGCTGTCAATCAAATCTCTGCTAAGCAATACTTGAAAATTTCGAAATATCCACTTTACAGTGAAGGTGGTACTACAGTTGTTGTGTCTAAAATCACAATAAAAGCTTCTCAATTTTACCATCTAACACAGGAAAACCACCAAGACAAAAGCATGCACCTGAGCTTAGATTCATCATGATTATTTAGAAATGGGTATTTCACTTAATAATAATAATAACAACAATTTGCTTTATCCCAAAACAGCACTTGTGATACAAAATGGAATTCTCAGCAATTTACTACAATATTGCATCCAGTTAGTACATCAACAATAAATCTCAGTTCGTTATGACAACAACATATTGGTATGTCGTTAGCAAAACAAAAAATTGAACAGAGTGTTTGAAGGTGTTAGAAAAGTAGATGGTAGCATATTTACTGGCGTAAGCAGAAGAAAGAAACAAAGGAGTACATAACAGAGAAAATAAAAGAGAGAGAGAAAGAGAAAAGGAGAAGAAAGAAAGAAAACGTTGTAACTATAAAAGATATGAATTGGAAAGACGAGATTTAGTTAGTTAGGAAAGAACAACACTAAGAATCACTTTGTTCAGACGGTAAGTTTGAACTTCTCCTAAATTATTTGCATAAGGTTCAATTATTATTAACACTTTGAACAAATTTTTGATTGCACACTAGTCAGTAACTAGTGTAATGTGTCTAGTCCTCCTGTCTTTGGTGCAGACTGAATTCTACCAGTCAGGCTTGTAATACGGCCACCATGCTAGGTGGCTCACCATTACGGTGCATTGTGAATTGTTGGTATTAGATGGTTGGAGGCAATCGGCAGGAAGCCTTGAACCTAGGTTTCGTGCTAGTTGGCACTCATCAGTAAGGTGCACCGTAAAGGCCACCTAGGATGGTGGCCACAATGCAAGCTTGACTGGTAGAATTCAGTCTGCACTGAAGATAGGACTAGACACGTTACACAAATTACTGACTCGTGTCCAATCAAAAATATCCAATACGGTCCTACGGGAGGTCAATCACGATCTTGAATAGCTCAGTGTTAACGTCTCTGACTGCAGCACTGGATGACGCGTGTTCGAATCTCAGAAGGGACATGAATTCCTTCAGGGTTGCAGATACGCCTTGCTGATGAGTGCCAACTAGCATGGAACCTAGGTCCAAGACTTCCTATGGTCGATTGCCTCCAACCATCTCATGCCAACTTTGAACAAACCATAGACGCTATTATCACCTGTTTTTACGTCAGACAAACAAGACAAGATAGGAAGATTACTGAACAATTTCAACATCAGAGTGTTTTTAAAAGTACCAAACACACTACAGGTCAATCTAATTCAATGCGAGAGACCAAATCTCGAAGGGTTTGTAGTCTAAATACATTTAAAAATTAAATTCTAAAACCTTGACGTTTTGAGAATTCAGACACAGAATGGGTACGAACAGTGTGCCGTGTATATCATCACTGAAAAACCCAGTGGAATCATAATAGTTTGAATAGACAACAGGCAGAGGTATATACGGTAGATTTCAGGAGTCACTGAGAGAAATAATTGTTTGGAGAAATAATTCACAATAGATTAAATCTAAATTTCTTGAATTAAAATGACGCGGAATGATGTTTTCATATCAATCTCATGATTCACATAAATGAAATTTCTTTCTCCAGAAGCCTCCGGCTTAAGGTTTCTGTAGCAGTGGTATTTAATTTTACAGGATAGGGTTACTAGCCTCATGCCCAACCTTCCTTCTTTACCAATCTTATTACTGGCTTGACGAGGTAATGGAGTTCATCGGTGGTCGGGAATCGAACCCCGGACCACATGCGTAGTTGGCGAGCATTCTACCGCTGTGCCACCAACGCGCTGTAGTGCTAGTTATTATCATAGATATTCCTAAATCCACAATCATTTTGTATACTTTAACGGACCTTCCTTGTTTTAACTGTTGATGCCAATTGATTTGACGAGTAAGTGTATTATCGGATTGTTCGATATGTTTTGAGTGAATGCATCACTTATTTTTGGGAATAAACTCTGTCCTGCATTAACACTATCAAATCTCAGAAGGGACATGAGTTCCTTCAAGGTTACACATACGCCTTGCTGACTGGTGAGTGCCAACTAGCACGAAACCTAAGCCCAAGGCTTCCTGCCGATTGCCATCTAATATCACTATTCATATCCATCGGAGGCATTAATTGTTTTAAATTTGTATAGTACTCATTAGATAGATAAATGTTACAAGTTTTTAATAGCTGCGAATTGCATAACTTACCAGTAGCTTCGACAATTCCTAAGTCATGTATAGTGAAACGATCAAGTGCTATTACTTGTCTGTAGACTACAAAAACGCCACCTTCGGTTATACTGCGACCAATTAATGGATTCTCTGAAAATGACTTCTAAAACAGAGAAAAAACACAGTCAAAAATAAATATAAAGTAAATTCGAAATGTGCACGAAGTCTAATAGCAGTTTTTATCAACTTATCATTGTTAATTGAATTTTTTTCGAATGTCGTTTGCAGGAATTTAGTTGGTTACGGGTTTAACCACGAGTTGATATCAGTTACAGAACCTTTGAAAACCAGCTAGGAGTACTGGAGAGCTACTTCGTCTTATTTAGAAACCATTCAGAAGTACGCATCCATCAGCATTGGAACCAAAGTTCTGCTGGTTATAACTTCAGATCGTATAGTGTTCAGGTGCTGGCATCCAATCCAGTGATTCTCCAGCTTATGTCAGCTCATAATCAAAGTGAATAGAGCACAGTGGAATACATTGAAGATGTCTTTATTATTTTAGAATATGGTGTCATCTCATGATGTGTCTTACGCATTAGAGAGGGAATATGAATGTATGCAAATACAGTAAGCGAGTTTTACTCATGAACCAGTATTCTGTACCATTTGTTAAAGTTGTTTTAAATCTCCAGTTGACCGACCCTTATCCATTTAAACATGGATTCTTCCTAGGATGGAGTCTTCGACAGTGAGTTCAGATGAGGCACATTATTATTTGGCTGGTGTTTGCAGGCATTTTATTTCCACGACTCGTCTGCCACATATGACTACAACGCTGATCAGTAAGAGTGTCCGCCTTGAGATCCATTCCCAACATTCATAGTTTAAAATGTCAAAACATTCTGTATGAGTTATCTGTAAATAGTTTCCACCCAATTTTCTAAGTTTATCGACTTACTCAGTAAGGTGGTATTTGCTGAACAGCTTTATCAGCTATGCCGAGTGCTACATTTTATTTTGCCTTCATAATGAATTATGTCTTCATTAGTTCCTGCCTTTCAACTCTGAGTAATCTGGTCAAAACGTGGTGAAGATCCAAGACACATGAACATTTCCTATCGACGATTTGTCAGCGCCTCCAGCATACACAAAAGCCATAACCTGACACAATTTCTACCATTTGGCCTCACCTTGTAGTTGATGTTGAAAGATGACACTGGTGGGGCTACGTGGCTTGAGTTCACCCAGTTCTCCAGAAATGAACAAGTAATTGTCTCGCATTGTCATTTTGCTAGCCATCCCGTAATGTTCAGAGATGTGTTTGGAAAGTGTGCGCTTTGTATGGCTAATATAACGAGTTCCACACGAGCAGATGAATTTATAAACACACACTGAGGTAGCCCAAAGCGTTAGTTTATCCTTCACACATCCGCTAATCATTTGTCGGCTGTAGAAAATGATCCGTAGCTCGGCCGTAAAGAAAGCTTTCCTCAGTGATATGCACAAGCGATTCTTCAGGATCTCAGCTGTGGTATCGTCTTTAAATTCAAAGCCCGTAAATAGAAGTTTCTTCTACACTGTGTGTGTTCTTTCAGGCTTTTCCCTTAACTCCATGTTTTTCTCAATAAATTTTGCCGGATATTCATTCTGTATGAGGACCTGTCTGAGTCGTTCCAGTTCCCCGTCGACTGTATCACTGGAACATATCCTTTTTGTTCTTCAGGACAAGGTGTCGATAAGGTTTCTGTTTATTCTCAAAGGGATCCAAATGTGAAAATTCGTGTATTGACCATTCCATATTGGTTTCCTGTTTCTTTGAAGAGAACCATCAGATCTCCTTTTTAGAAAAACTCCCAAAAAATGGAATTCCGAGTTCATCTCTGATTTCGACGTGAATTGGATGGCATGATGGCAGCTGTTGAACTCTTTAGTTATCATTTCGATGTCGGAATTCTCGTCACATATGATGAAATTATCTTTGGTACAAACGAAAACCATCGATATTGGGTCGTAATAAACTGTTCTTCAGACTTGCCAAGAAGCAGTCTGCAAGTAAAGGACCCTATGGTGACCCAATTGTCACTCCATCTCTTTGTCTTCAAAGTGTGTTGTTAAACGTGAATTAGACGTTTAAAGTGTACCTCAGTAGTAGTTCCTTCAAGTAATGGATCGGAACACACACGTCTACATTATTATCTTCAGTGAATTTGCATACAAAGCAAATAGTTTCAGTCAGAGGAACATTGGTGAAAAGGGATGCAACAACCATGGATACCGTTTTCTTCCTGGATATATTAGCATCACTTATTGAATCGATGAATTGAAATGAATCTGAAGCAGAGATTATTTCTGATAGGTAGGAGGATGTCTGCAAGCCATTTAGCAGTAGCATGATATGCGATTTTTGTCATATCCAGGACTGGACGTATTGGTACAGTCTCTTTGTACACTTTCGGCAGACCATATAAACAGGGGAACCTGAGGGTCGTATTTGCTCAAATAATTCAGAGCTGATAATCGATTTGTTCTTCACCTTCTTCATATCCTCATGAGAGTGACCAATAAGAGTGAAGGCACTTTATTTCGAAGAATAAGGTTAGTTATATAAATGTAGTGTCTTGGTGTAGTTATTATTATCTCTATGAAACTGTATACTACTGATTAGCTGGGGTGAGTAGTTGCATATCACTAATAATAGTCAGTGATTCTTGCCAGCCGCACCGGGGTAACCTAAGCACCGAACGACGGTTTCGCCCGTTTGTGGCAAGGTTCTTCAGTAGTGTACCAGGTTTAATTAAACTCAGAGATCTGAATCACTTCAAATACCTAATTTCTGGCTAACTGCTTTGGTGAAATGGTAATACCGCACATGAAAATCGTAATTTGCAAACTGATCGGCAATTTGCACAGTGATTTGGCTCATTTAGCTCATTGAATTAAACGGGTGAAACGGCCGGCCGGTATTTAGACCACCTCGATCTGAATTGTACACAACTACTTACTCATCACTATGAATCAATAATTTGTAGGCTTTTGCAGATGTGCTCGTTTTCTTGACTGCCATTTATGTCGTCAAGCAGACAACATATTGAGTGTGTGTTATTAGAATAACTTGGTTTCCAAAAGAAAATACTATAGTAAAATTTCACCCTTCGAACTATGTGCACTGAAAACTGCTAACCAATTTTCAAGTTGTGAATTTGATCTATAGTCGTTACTTCATTTCCCGGTTACACGGTACTTTGAATATTCACTCATTTAACGAAAGTTTAAATAAAGCTCCAACAAAGTTTTTTTCAGTAAGATATATATATATATATACATCAACCTGAGAACGCCTATATCAATAACTCCTGAAGATTCAATGGTATTTCACGCTGAGAAGAATAAAAGTATTCCTGTTGAGTGCTATGAAAGTTCACGCTATCACTGTGTTCCGACTGTCGATCATAAATTGTTGACTATGTAAATGTGTTGTAATGCAATGACAAAAATACTTATAAACTCTGCGTCAACAGCAGAGTAACAGACATTTTGAAGATGACTCAATTTAATTTTATTAGAATAAAGCAAGAACAACAATGGTTTATGCAGAATAATATGGTACCATCATCGCCTATTTCGTTGGCTTCTCATCAGCTGCTTACAGCCCTAATAAATTATGAGTTTTAAGTACAGAAACGCCTTAACATTCTTGTAAATTTCACATGTTGTCAGTTGACAGAAAGTTCTACAATTAGTAAATAGTGCTCAGAAAATTGCGCTTATACAGTTATTTACACAGGCAGTTCAAGTTTAAAAAAAATAAATGGTAGAGTTACGTAATAAGGATGAGATGCGCTTTAGATGCAGACGAAGGAGGTCCATTCTCCTCACCTTTCCTGAAGCGATTTCTATCAAGCGCTTGAAACCAGATTTATGTGTTCAGAAAGAAGCAGCTATTAGTCCTTCTTTGCCATGGTAACTGGATGTCTTTATTCTCGCATCGGATTACGTAATCTTTGTCTTTAACCTCACCCTCCTTTTAGAATCCGTAATTTTGTTTGTCCCCTGTTTCTGTGATTTGAGTTCAACTCAGTACATTGTTACCTACCTTATTAGTCACTCTGCATCTATCACATATCTCGTATTTATTACGTAACTCCTGTACCATTGTATGAATACATTTATTTAGTTTAAACTTGAACTGCCTGTGTAAATAACTGTATAAGCGCAATTTTCTGAGCACTGTTTACTAATTGTGGAACTTTCTGTCAACTGACAACATGTACAATTTACAAGTATGTTAAAACTTTTCTGTACTTAAACCTCATAATTTATTAGGGCTGTAAGCAGCTGATGAGAAGCCAACGAAATAGGCGATGATGGTACCATATTATTCTGCACAAACCACTGTTGTTTTTGCTTTATTCAAATTCATCAAGGGAATAAATGCATGAAGTTAACTTTATTAATTGGATTGTCTACCTCTGTGAAAGATAAGCTCCCCGTGTGGCCTCCTCAGTGTGCATTTATCAGTTCACCTGCCATTGTGGAGCAAGGTACATTGGCCGTAGCCACAGGACTCTTTCCACATGGATACAAGAACATATTCCAGAATGCATTTACAAGGGAGAGTGGAAGTGTGTGCGAAACACCTGATCGACTTCTGTCATTCTGTCGGTCCTGACCATGACTTGAAGATCATATACAGAATCCATGCTAACTTGCAGGCGGCGTTGTCTTCGATACGGACTTCTAAAGACAGCAGAGGCCATGTCCATTCATGACTTTAAGCCAAACCTTTGTGTACAAAGGAAGTATGTACAATGCCTACTTGTGCCTTGTCCATAGAGGGATAGACATTTATTTATTTTGTCTACTTAGTTATTCTATGTACCTTTCCCTTATTACTACGATTATTATTATTATTGTTATTACTATCCTCACTCTGAATCTTTTTCACCCGTCCCACCTGTTATTCTAAACCCAAAATTATCAATTTTCATATGTTTTGTTTCTCCAGTATTGAATTCTATCTTATCAAATTTCACACCATGTTATGTAACATCTTATATTTGCCTACTAATCCTATAATTGTGTGTCCCTCTGAAAAATCTATACACCTTATGTATTATTCTATATATGAAATTGGTTGTTTTGCTACTTGACATTTAATTATGATTATAATCACAAACATTTTAATTTTAAGTATTGGTTTTTTAGGGATTTTGTTTGATTGCATGGAGGATTTAATCATGAGCTGACATCAGTTTCATACTATTATTATTTCATGTATTCACATGTTTGATCTAATTCCCTCACCGGAAATAATTTCTTAAAAGACGATGTATATATATATATGTATGATTGTACAGCTTGGTAATAAATTCGTCGTTAAAAAGAGTCTCTTTACTGAATATTGTGTTTATAATGAGGAACTACAATTCTAGCTTAAAGAAAGTAAAGTACACTTCAAAAACTGGGAGTACATTCTTTGCCTAGAAAAAATCCCAACCCATATATCATGTGATTAGTGTTAATCATTAGCTTCATTTCCTCTATACACACTTGATAAAACATATTTTTTCAAACAGTGAAGTGATTGCAGATAGTGTAGAGGATTATTAAATCAGTCTGGTATGAAAATACAATTCATTACTTGTGATTTTTCGGGGGGAATTTAACTAGAAAACGTGAAGATATACCGTGCACTGTACTTTATTAACATACTTCAACGACAATTGTGATCAAATAGAAGCTGGCCAATAGGAAATTAATTAAGCCAGTGAATTTCGAGTCTTTTAGTTTTTATGGCTGATTACAAAACACGTCTGCCTTTTTTCCATCCCTTCACTTAATTTACAACTTCAATTCCCTTTTTTGGTAAAACAGGATAAGGTAGTGATTTTGAAAACGAGTTTTAAAAAAGACTGTTCTTCGTAGTCAGTTACATCGTCCACTGTTCAGTGGTGTGCTTAAAATGTGAGCTATCAGCAAACTCCATCATTATATTCCATTTAATGTCTTTTGTTCAGTTTTTGTTCTAATCGGATAAAACATGATTTCTAGTGCAATTTATCTACTCTTGTGAGTATTTAACACGTCAAAAACCTACTGATTTGCAAGTTTCTACCGCCAGTTCTGAGGAAAAGCAAAATCTAGGATGGAAACTTATCCTAATAAACGAGATAAATGTTCCTGAGAATTTTAGCGCAAGCTGCCACTACCTGGAATGGAATGGAAATAAACTCACTCCCTGCAGTCTTATATCTTTGGGTCTGAGATTGTACTCCTACCGCTTTTGTTGTACATTTCTGGAAGGAGCAGGCAAAGAAGAAATATCATAGGGGATGGGTTTTCGCTTCAGGTCAGACAATTACCTTTGTCATGCAATCTAATGTTAATTATTACATTGGTTGAAGATCCTAAACAATGGAAAACAATTAGGTAATAAATTCCGTTGAAAATTCTGTACACTATACAATCACTGCTCAGAATATAGGCATTATTAATAATAGATAAATTAATTAATTAATTAATTAATTAATTAATGTAGGTAACTGTGCATACCTTTTTTGGTGGTTTCTTGATTCTTGTGATTAAAAGAAAGTCATCGAAGAGGAAAGCGAAGATTTCGATAGTTTTAGTTCCATCTAAAGAAAATGAATGGAAAATACAACATACTACTGTAAATAGTACTATTCAAGGTAGACTATTAAGCCATTGGGAACCGATCCAATGGCCAGCCCATGAATTTCAACTTCTACTAACTCATGACACAGCTTAGTGGTCTTCGAGCTCGCTAGCTTTGTAACTAAAAGGTCCTGTGTTCGAAACCCTGTGGCGGTTACGTATTGATGCAAAGTCCCAAACTAGGCTGACAAAACAGCTGTACACTATTCCCAGCTGGTTTTTCAATGTTTCACTAATCGATGTCAGCTCATGATAAAATCCTGTAACCAATCAATTAAATCCTTACAAAACAATACTTAAAAAATAATTGTATCTATATAAACTTACATATATAAGCCCGATTGTACAACCACTTTGTTAGGATGAAATCTCTGAAAGGATATCTCTGCTGAATTTCTTGTTATTTTAACTCGAATGTCCCTGTGGGTATTTTCTGTGATTTAAGACCTATCGAGAGTTTAGCCTCAGCAAATAGTACGAAATAAGATGAGTGCCACGAGTAAGGGTAACTATGGGCCAGGCAGAAATTTGACAAATTTAGATGGACACAACAATAACATGAACGACTCAAATAACAAATAACACTTACCATTGAGTGTCAGAAATCCTTCGTGTAACAATTGACGTTTAGGATTTGCAATCAATCGTTCACATGGTTGTCGGGCTAAACTTTGACGCAGAAATTCAGGAATGAAAACTCTTGGCTCTAATTCTGAAACTGATGGCCAGATTAGCTGTGACTGGATTTCTTGAAGTCTTTCAAAATTTTTCAACCAACGCATTTTATCTTCCAGGATTCTAACAAATATAAAAAGGTGGACAATATTATACTGAATTGTTTGACATCTCTTTAAAAATAACAGTTTCTCATTAAAAGAAAGTATGATGATTTAAAAATTCCACAGATTCACTTTGGCATGCTTAAACACCACCACTGGGTTACTCAATCTTCCATTCAGTAAAATGTATCACATATAACTCTGTTTCATGTGGATTTTACCACCAGATTACATCACTGAATGGTAATCTGTACTCATATCTATTTTTAAATGTGTAGCAAGCTACTACTATTTTAATTTAATTTGAGATTTTCCCACCGATTGATTGGACAGAAGTGCTCGGTCTCAGGTTGACATGTCGGCTTCTTATGCAGATGCTTCGACGATGTCTGAGCATTTAGTTAGTATTTCATTGGTGGTGGCTCTTGTAGCCCAAGTGTTCTAGTGGATAACGCTTTGGTGTTTGAAACCATGGGCACTGGGTTCGAGCCTCGGTGGGAACATCATCACTCACTGGGAAATGGCGGTACATCCAGCTGACGAGTCCCAAATGGGACGTGATGTGCATCCTGGATTCCGCTGCTAGTCACCATCCATCAATTAAATCTACTACTATGTTTTCGAAAAAGAATGAAGGCAAAATATCACGAATGATTTGAATCTGCATTGGATAGGACAGTACTATTCCAAATGTTGCATTATCGACACTACTCTTTTATTCCCGGGCCTACCGAATGGAATACAAGGCTTTAGACTTTAGCCTTGAAGTTTCTGCAGTAATGAGATTTGTGTTCTACCGAGTGGAATCACCAGCCTCACCCCCAACTATCCCCTTTTCACTGGTCTCACTGTGGTGAGTGCTGTCTGCTAGCCAAAACTGTAAGTAATAATTTACGTCCCAAATCTTGGTCATCTGAATAAACAAGAACAAAGCCTAACCTTGAGGAACTCAACAACCATCCACAGCAGACTTAACGTGGGCGGATACGATTTGCAGATATGTCACCGGACTGTCGGCAACAAAGAGGTGAAAGAATAACCTACAGCAGGAAAACAGTCAATCAGAAGACATTGCTTCTCTGCTAACAATAACGAAAAATAATGATGTACATAAAAACCTATCAATATTTGTTGGTTTTCTCAATAAACGATCTGTTGCCTGGCTTTTGTCTTCTGTTGTTGCATTACTATTGGCTAAGCAAGGTGGCCAGAGGTCAAGCCTTGGACCACGTGTGTGGTTTACAACTGTTCAACCTATGAACCACCAAAGCACTATTAATAGTTCACTTACATATTATTAACTGATAGTTGCGAAGGGTGTAGCTTGTTATTTAGGTAACCAGATTACAGTGAAATCATTGAAAAACTGCATCAATAATTTAATTCATCATCGCTTGGTCATCAATGTCATCATACTTCTAGTCTCTTTTTTATTCCGTCACCCTAACTGAATTCCACCAGTTAATTTCATAATATGATCATCAGAGTGGATGACTAGACACAGTAGTGTACACTGACTTATTGTTCGTTGGCTGTAGGTAATCAGCTGGAAGTCATGGACCTACATTTGGTTCTTATTATCACTCGTCATCAAGGCATATTCGCAGCCTCAAAGTTGGACTGATTTCTCCGTTGTAGATTCAAAAATATTCAAAACTCTTTCTTTGGTGCAGACTGAAATCTATCAGTTAGGTTTGCGATGTGGCCACCATTCTAGGTAGCTCACCATCATGATGCACACTGATTTCTTGATATTAGATGGTTGGAGGCAATCTGCCACAAGAAGCCTTGCCTGATCTAGGTTTTGTGCTAGTTGGTACTCACCAGTCAGGAAGGCAGGCTCGTCTGCAACCTTGAAGGAATTCATGTCCCCTCCGAGATTCGAACCGACGTCACCCAGTACTGCAGTCAGAGACGTTACCACTGAGCTATTCGGGCCCACGATTGACCTCATGTAAGGCTGTAGTGGATTCGAATTTCAGGAGGGACTCTAGCTCCTTCAAGATTGCAGATACGCCTTGCTGACTGACTGGTGAGTGCCAGCTAGCACGAAACCTAGGTCCAAGGCTTCCTGTGGCCGATTGCCTCCAACCATCTAATAAAGTTTTACTTCGCAACACAAACTAATACCTCCAATTTTCAACGTGCATAGTGTCAACTGGTTAGTGAGGTATGGCAAATAAATATATTCATATTTCTGTTGAAACGTCACTCCCTGGGTTGAGAACTACTTACGCACATGTCTTAGTTCCTCATTCTCTTGAGTACATCATCTTGCATTATTTCATGTTAGGCAGTTATGAGAACTGTAGTGTTTTTCAAGTATAGGGTTTCTTACGTATGTGTATAGATATATACATCTTCTGAAACTTAAGAAGTACTTTCCCAGTATCTTCCTTATTTTATTCACTTTAACTGATAGGCTAAAGAAGAAGATAACGACACAACTAACTAGACGCCCTCATTTTTCTTCCACCCCCCTCGCCCTTATAACTTACTTGATTGACACTAAAGATTTTGGAAATCCAATTTGTATAAATATTTTGAGCAGATGTATACAACAGTAAGATGATGTATACTACATTATGAGTAGATTGTAGTCAGTAGAGGTTGAATGTGGCTGCTGTTGCTGCCATTCTCCTGTCCATCTTCTGATATTTTTATAGAAATGAACAGATCAACTATTTATCTGTCTATCACTGACTCTCTCTGTCCTTCTCTCTCTCTCTCTCTGTGTCTAAACAGAATCAGCAGCTGGCTCATAACAAAGCAAACTATTGTCTATAAATAGTCTTATCTACTTATTTAGTAGTTATATAATTCTATTGAATTTGTATGACACAAAAGAAATCTAAGGGGCATAAGTGACATGGATATATATATATATATGCTTTATATTGGATGTGTAGGAAGGCCATAAAGCATAACAGTTCTTCTTCTATCTTGAGTTTCCATTAATAACTCTAAAACACTTTGGATTTGCTTATTCTCGCTAAGACAAAAGAAAGAGTTAAGAGATATTGAAGGTTAGTTAATAGGAAAGGTAAAATAAATGCGAGGGAGGGGGGCGGGATGGAGGCTATAATCGTACCATTTAAGAAATTAACTAACTAGACAACGTCTATCTGAAAGAAAATAAACAAAATCATGAATTAATGCTTTAAATTGTTCAACTGTAACATTATATGTGTATTATATTGATGCCTTTCAGATTTAACTCCATAATGGAAAATGTTTTGAGTGTTATGAAGTGATTTTTGTCACATATCAGTGTTATTTTGACGGCCAATGGAATTAGATTATTCATGTAATGCAGAAGGTTTATACTTCAGTTAGATGTTTTGTTTAGATAGACAACAGGTAGGAATTGTTATCGTGCATATAGTCCTCCGTTTGATGAAGTCAAGTTTGCAGTGTGACTCACCATCATGGTGTACTCTCAATTGTTGTTAAATGGTCAGAGGCAATCAGTAGGAGACCTTGAAGCAACGTTTGGTGTTTGCTGGCATTCCTTATCAAAGAGTACGTGCAATCCTCAAGGAATTCATGTCCTTTGTGAGGTTCAACCCTGAGTCACCCAGTGTTGTAGCCAGCTATTGGAAGTCATGATTAAACTCCTCGAGAGTGAAATGTAATGAAAAGCTGCTTAGTATGATTGCCACATTTCAGAATTGGCTGGTAGAATTCAGTCTACATCAAACGATGGATCAGACGCATGATAGTTACTACCTAGAATCCAATTAAAGAATCTATCACTAACCTACGGGAGATCAATGAACAGCCGAGTGGTAACATCTCTGACTGGAGCACTGGGTAATCCAGATCCGAATCTCAAAAGGGACATAAATTCACTTACTAATGAGTGCTAATGAACACGAAATCTATACCTAAGGATCTCTGCTGACAGACTACAATTCAGGTTGATCTTTCTGTTGTAGTTGTGTTTTCTGAGGGGAACATTCTTGACTGAAACAAATTTTCATTGTCTTGTAGACTATTTCTTCTGCTTGTGCTTTATATTAAAGAGCACGACTATATATGAAATCAGATGTCTATGAACAGCATGTCTTCCTTCCATTGGAAAGACGAACAGACATCAATAAGTTAGTATAATCGAAATGAACTTGCTGTTCTAAAAAAAATAAGTTATTCAGCTGAACAGTTTTGGGCGTGAAGGCAAATTAATTTATTAGGTAATGCAACTAGTAATTTGTCTCTGTTATCTCTAACAGCTAGAGTTTACAAATTATGAACCTGTAGATTTCTGGCCTGACTGACTGCTATCAACGTAGAATTTTGCAAAGATGTGCAGCAGGTTGAGATGCTACACTCCCTCCATGTAGCGTATAAAGCAGGAGAATAGGGTAAAGGGAGATTCAAAAAGAGATAATAAACAGAAATATGGTACAAAAATAAAAGTTATATGGAATAACAATAATATTTTATTGGCTACGATAAATCACAAAGAGTGGATTCATTTGCAGTCGCCATTTGGAACAATGAATTTGAGCCATATCACTGATTGTCTCCAGGCCTTAATGGTTCTGACCATCTTGAGGATCCCAACCTATCAGGAAGTCTACATTGACTTACATCACTTAAACTAAATGGTATCGACTTAATTGACTGATGAAGCATGTTTTGACCACCACTAGCTCTTTTCCTACCTGATCTATCCTCTGTCAGCTATCAATGCATGTCGAGGACGGTAACAGCTAGGAATGTATGCGTAGCATTCGCTCATGCCAAATGTAAGATGATGCTATAGAGCCGGAATACATCGGCTATTAGTTAAGAAATATGGTGTGAAGTGGTAGAGCGTGTTGGCCACTTCAACTTTCGGGAAGTTGCGTCAATCAGTGACAACGGGTTGATCGCTGACGAAATCTTAGCATGGATACAGAAGGCTCATTTCACATATGCCAACTTACGCCATCTCTGGCTTAGACGTAATATCCGGGTGGCTATCGACCAAAAGTCGTGTGTGCTGCTCATCAGATTGC